CTGGGCTCCTCCAGGCGCCGGATCTGGCGTTTCACGAGTAACTCAAACGACACTTCCGGCACGAAAAGGGCCGGTCGGGGACCCTATGGGTGAGCGCCAAACACAAGGGGGTTAACCATCAAAAAAACACACCCAAACATACCGCCCATACATACCGTGGCGTTCCTGATGGCGGTCAGTATGTCGAGAGTAGTGAGGCCTCCCAACGGGTGTATGGAGTCCAGCGTACGGCCAAACGTCTCGTGAAATATATAGCATATACGGGCGCCTCCGCACAGCTCCGTAGTCTCGATATTACGTGCCGTTCCCTCGATGGTCGAGCAATAGCTCGACGCGAACTTCGTGATGATCTGCAACAGTGTCTGTCCCTACCGTTCCCCCACACCATCGACATGAGACAAACAGTTAGTTAATTGCGATTAAAAATCAATTGTATTTCAAAACAAAGTTTTTTCAGTCAAATCCCTATTGACTTTCCATTATAGCAGAGGTCTGTGTAGTGTATGTGCGGAATGGGAACTACACGTCAAACTCTAGTTAATATACACTAATTGCTTAATTATAGGGGGATATACTATTATGTAATTCACACGTAAACTAATAATAAGCTCAATGATTATGGACTACCGGTTTGCCACTAAATACGCGAGACATTAGACTTAGTGTGTAATGAAAACGGTTATACAGTTTAGTAATACAGTAGATGTGAATGTAGTGAACGCCATGAGTCTTACCGCCGCCCCCTTTGGATCGTCCTATCGGTGCGATTATTGCAATAGGATTACACGTATTAATAGATTATATTAAAAGCAATCAAAACATTAAGATAAGTAAAAAACACATGACATGAACGCCAGTCTCACAAAAACAACTCAAACTTAAAAAACACATTAAAAGCTAATTAACTGAACAACAAAAATGGCATAACTTTTAGGCCACACACACACAACACATGCAATACTAGTGGTCACTAATCGGGGGACAGTCGCGTGTGTGTGTCAGCCAATCATTCAATGGGCTATTGGTTAGGGAGTGAGGGATGATGTGGACACACACCTGATCATCAACGGCCACACCATACGAGTTCAGCAGCGACTGGAACTGCGAGATCATTAC